CCCTGTTGCAATTTTTATTTTAAATGATAAGTACATTATGATGGAGAATATGACTAATTAATCATACAGCTTAATACATTTTCTTAATATATATTTGTATTAATAATTAATAATCAGTTATTCTTCTAAACAGTTTTTGTATTTATCTTTTGTTTGTCATTCATTACATTCATTGTGTCTTCTGTTATAAACATTCTTACAATATTAAACAGTAATATCAACAGCAAACATATTTTTAAAGTGATTTCTGTCTTTATAATATTATATAATTTTGAACAGTAATATGAACAATTAACATATATTTTTAGCATTTTTGAAAGCTACTTATGCCTTAATAATATTATATATAATATTCAACAGTAATATTATCAATAAACATATTTATATTCATATAAACAACAATATTTGCTACATCCGTGCTCTCGTCCGGCTGCAGAGCGAAATATTCACTCGCTCTCACTTGCTCCAAAAGCTGAGCAGATACTCAGTTTCACTCTCAGTAGCGGCAGCTCGATTCTGATTGGCTTGAAGGGCGGTCGTGTGATTTAAAAACAAACAAATTAAATATTAATAAATAAAAAATATTAAAAGATTGGCTTCAAAGGACACAGATTGATAGATATGCAGTTATTAATATCTAAATAAAAAATAAATAAAAAATGTAACTTTAAAAAAAGAAAAAAATTCCACTTTCGCTCAAACTTTGCGTGACCCCCCTGGCGGCCGCCCGGGGGGTCGAGGCCCCCACTTTGAAAAACACTGGTCTAAGATACGTAAAGACATGCGTCCCAATAAAAAACATCCCGATTAGTGATCATTTTGTATATTTTGCGTGTAAGAACTGAATCTAAAAGTAACTGTGAGCTGTTAGATAAACGTTGAGGAAGAAAACAATAAATTATTCTGCTCATTTTCAAGTTCACTTTTGTATTAAGTGTCTCTCCTGGGACATGTTTCCATGCCTTAAAGGTGGGGTAAGTTTGAGAAACCGGCTCGAGATACACATTTTGTTATATTCCATAGAATGCTCTTAACATCCCGATAGCAATGAATATCTGAAGTGCTTTGACAAAAAATCCAATTTAATATATCATCAGTGGAAGCCGTGGCGCTGTAAAAAGCACGACCAATCATCTGAGCCGGCTAAAGTAACTGGATGGCCTACCTGCCTGTCAGCCTTCCATCTGTGCACAAACTTATCTCTGCCCTCATTGGTCATGTGCGTGTCGTGTGTGTTGGAGGAGGGGCTCTGTGAGGAAGTGGCAGATTGTTTCCGGCTGTGTATTTTCAAATTCTAGCGCACTCGAGCTGGTTTCTCCAAAATGACCTACCCCATTAGTAGTAGTAGTAGTAGTAGTAGTAGTAGTAGTAGTAGTAGTAGTAGTAGTAGTAGTAGTAGTAGTAGTAGTAGTAGTAGTAGTAGTAGTAGGTAAGCAGAGAATGAAAATAAAAACTTTACAGAACATGTTGAGTACATGTGTAGAATAAACTTTATTAGTCTGAGATCATCAGAACAGCGTAACAGACTTCTGACAACAGGAATACAAAATACATAAAAATCACAAAAATAAAAACTTTTCAGGTAAATGAAGATTTGTGATTAAAGTCGAGGAAGCATCTTTAGACACAGGAAACGGAGTCATCCCGCTCTGTCGAGGCTCCCTAAACCACCAGACAGCTGATTTCACACCATACAATACAATTCTGTACTTTACGGACATTCAATCAGAGACAGAGAGGACTGAGGACTTGACACACATTCCCTTATGGAGAGAATACATGCACAAGGAGTTTATTTGTTTGTAATTTAAAAGGCACTAAACAGAAGCCGCCCCGCTGCTAAATCCTCAAAGACTTCTAACGTCCTGTCATAAGAACAAAGGGAATCACGTATTGAAATGAAAAGGCACTGTAAGATCTTAAAATACGCACTTTTAAGATCACTTCTAACAGCATTTAAAAAAAGAAGATTTGGTCCAGTTGGCTCAAGTTGAAGCACAAGTGAGGGAAAACATTAGGAGAGACTGGAGGGATGATTACAGACTGAAGAAACACTCCTTCAGGACTGTATGTATGTTACAAAAACTGTAAAAGTATTCTTCAAATTCAGTCTAAATACATGTAGTTGTCTTCCAGCTATCATCTCGATCTGAGGTTAATGGAAGGCAGGCCGGTGCTTTGCTAAGAAAAGGGATAGAATAGTAAGAAAGGTGGTTTCTCCGATCCAATATTAGCTTAGCAGCTGCAACTACATGTGCAAGTGTTTGGATTTCTCCACATGCTCAAAACAAAGCTAGTCTGCACTGTTTGTTGTTGTTGTTTAACCTTTAAGAAAACAGGAAAACAAGAGCAAAATTGTAAGGAATGGATTAAACACTGTGTTTATGTTAGCATGTACGGCTTGTCAGGGAATCATTCAGGATACATGTTTACCTTTCGCCCTCTGACGCAGATGCCCTAACCCTTGAGCAGCCGCTATCTCCCTTAAGGAGGGGCAAGTTGTTGTTGTTGTTGCCAGTTTGTGACCGGGCAACTGTCGGTCAGAGATAGTTGTTGTTGTGGGACACCTGGCACACATCCTTCTCGGGGCGTAGATGACCCCGAGCCATAAGCGACAACAAATGTGATTCAGTGTCCTCAGCTGTTAAGTCTATCTATTGAAGAGTGTTGATTATTACACTCTGAGTTAAACCCTGGAGCTACAGGAGGGCTCTTCAGAACTGATGTGGCATCTGAACCGTGTGGTCAACTCGTGGCCTGGGACATGTTTTGTGAATTCTCCGGCTGAAGCTCCAAATAAACCGTCAGTGTTTGCCATCAAAGCTCCAGCTCTCCTCGTCTCTCTCTGAGTCCTGACTCCATCAGAGCTCCAGCTCTCCTCGTGTCTCTCTGAGTCCTGACTCCATCAGAGCTCCAGCTCTCCTCGTGTCTCTCTGAGTCCTGACTCCATCAAAGCTCCAGCTCTCCCTGTGTCTCTCTGAGTCCTGACTCCATCAAAGCTCCAGCTCTCCTCGTCTCTCTCTGAGTCCTGACTCCATCAGAGCTCCAGCTCTCCTCGTGTCTCTCTGAGTCCTGACTCCATCAAAGCTCCAGCTCTCCCTCGTGTCTCTCTGAGTCCTGACTCCATCAAAGCTCCAGCTCTCCTCGTGTCTCTCTCTGAGTCCTGACTCCATCAAAGCTCCAGCTCTCCTCGTGTCTCTCTGAGTCCTGACTCCATCAAAGCTCCAGCTCTCCTCGTGTCTCTCTGAGTCCTGACTCCATCAAAGCTCCAGCTCTCCTCGTCTCTCTTTGAGTCCTGACTCCATCAAAGCTCCAGCACTCCTCGTGTCTCTCTCTGAGTCCTGACTCTCCATTGCTACAGAGCTTTCCCCCACACGGCTAACTCGCTGTATCAACATTTGTGATCATTTTGGCGGATATTGCAATTGTTTAATATATTAACGGGCTATGATGTGAATTTGAATAGGATCAAACAAATAGGTTTTGTTAGGTTTGTAGAATACAGAATATCTCTGAAACTCCACAATACTTTCAATATGTATTTCAATTGCAATTTCGATAACATTTAGATGAATTGTGCAGCCATAGTTTGAAACCAGTGAAATTGTATCTATGTACTTTTTGCCATATGCTGTATTTTCCTGCTTTGGTTTTGTATTTCTTGGACAGTTCTGTTGGACAGGAGCGTCCTCTCTTCAACATGTTGTTCAGTTGTTTTTCACACCGTGAGGAAACACAGACTGTTTCAGGACGTCGTTAAGCTGTCCCTCAGGACGAGGTAACGGCGGCCGAGCGAGTGTCCCTTCCTCCGGACTGAGATCTGTTCAAACAGGACAGACTCTGACCTCTGACCCCACCCCCCCCCGTCCTGACTCCGAGCCAAACAGTAACCGCTTCCTGCTCTGAAACATCGACGCAGAGACGACTCGGGATCTAGTTGAGGTTTTGTTTGGATCAGGAAGTTTCATTCCAAAGCTCTTCTCCTTAGCGGATTGACATCTTTTAGATTGTTGCTTTTATTGCTTTTAAATTGTCTATTGTTTTTACTTGTTCTATGGTGTGTGACCTGAGCTGTGTGATTTCTGTATGTGTGTTTGTTTATTTGACTGTACAGCACTTTGGTCTGGAGGTTTTAAAGTGTTTTAAAGTTTGAAACTGTGTTGTATTGTATTTTGAAGGATTTCATTCTAAAAACAGTAACTGTGCCTTCGAGAAATCACATAATGACAGTTTTATATAACTTGTTGACTTATTTAGGGGCGACTGTGGCTGCGGTCGTCTTTCAACCAGAAGGTTGTGGGTTCGATCCCAGCCCATGCAGTCAACATGTCGATGTATCCTTGGGCAAGATACTCAACCCTGAGTTGCTCCAGTCCCGATGGCCAGCGGTGTGTGACTCTTAGGTCCTAGAGTCAGGTGCACGCTCTGTATGAATGGGTGAACGACATGTTGTATGCAAAGCGCTTTGAGGGGTTTTAAAGACTGGATAAAGCGCTCTATAAGTACAGTCCATTTACAATGTTAAAACCATTAAACATTTCCTGGGTACAACAATGTTTTCTTCACTTGGCTGTTTTAAAATTGGAATAAAACCACAAAGAAAATGTAATAAAATATTTAGGTTTTGCCTAAAAATACCAAATATCTCTGTGTTTGTGTGGACCATTGTGTTAAATATCACTCTCTTATTCTTTCAAAATAAGAATCCAAATTAACGCAGGGTTAGTTAATGATGAGGTCTTTGGTGAAATCTACACAATATATCTATATATGTTACCAATGTAAAAGCTTCCCATATCATTGAGTTATTTAAAGGAGTGAGTAGCAGGTGAGTCGATGCATCGGTGAGTCGATCCTAAACCTTGCTGATAGTGTCTCCTGTTAGTCTGAAGATCAGCTGGTGGTTTTGTACATTTGGACTTCCTCTCAGCTCACTCAGTCGTTAAGGGGCGGAAAAGGAAGGCAGGAAGTTAAGTATCACAATAAAGACTCGTAAAATATACGTCTACATAATCTTATTTCCTCTTTGGTGCGTTGAGCTCAGCTGAATTGTACAATATAGATACATCTTATATTTCGTTTTTACTTCCTAACGCCATTAATTGGTTTATACATTTGACTGTGCGATTAGCAGGTGATTGGATTCCTCGGTGAGTAAATCCTAAACATTGAATTCGACCATCTCTTCTGTCAGTTTGCTGATAGTTAGTCTGAATATCAGCTGGTGAGTTTGTACATTTGGACTTCCTCTCAGCTCAGTCTTCTTTCGTTTACCTCTCCGCGCTCTAGTCCTCGCTGTTGTTGTACAGTGCCTCCGCGTCGGGGTTTTTGCGGTGTGACGGCGGCACCAGGTGATCCGGCAGCTCGCTGGGCAGCTCATAACCCTCCAGTTTGACCTTCATAAGATGCTGAGCGAGCGCAAACTCCTCGTCGTCCAACATGCCGTCCTTGTCGCAGTCGGCCAGCTTCCAGATCTTCCCCAGCACCGTGTTGGGCAGCCGCGAGTTCATCATCTCCTTCTTGGCGTTGACGCCGGTGATCTTGCCGTTGATGGGCATCAGCATGTAGAAGATCTCGTCGTAGCGGTGCTTCTCGCGGCTCACGATCCAGTCCTCCGTGTCCGATCCGGCGCATATTCCCTCTCCGTATCCGTGACCGAAGGGCCCGTCCTGGGAGCCCTCGAAGGCTCCGCCCGACACGAGGACCGGAGGCGCTTTGGACTCTTCGTCACGGATCATCGTCATCAGGCCGGCAATCTTCGTGGCCAACATCTTGTCCACAGACTCGATGAGCTTTATCTTCATAGACGGGAACTTACTGAAGTCGTAGTGCTGCAACATGTCCTGGAGGAGAACACAGAAAATATGTTAAAGGTGGCTTATTATGTATTAAGTATTTTCTACATCAACATGTGTCCTCTCTTCTTCATGTCTCTTCTTCATCAACATGTGTCCCCTCTTCCTCATGTCTCTTCTACATCAACATGTGTCCCCTCTTCCTCATGTCTCTTCTACATCAACATGTGTCCCCTCTTCTTCATGTCTCTTCTACATCAACATGTGTCCCCTCTTCTTCATGTCTCTTCTACATCAACATGTGTCCCCTCTTCTTCATGTCTCTTCTACATCAACACGTGTCCCCTCTTCTTCATGTCTCTTCTACATCAACATGTGTCCCCTCTTCCTCATGTCTCTTCTACATCAACATGTGTCCCCTCTTCTTCATGTCTCTTCTACATCAACATGTGTCCCTCTTCCTCATGTCTCTTCTACATCAACATGTGTCCCCTCTTCCTCATGTCTCTTCTGCATCAACACGTGTCCCCTCTTCTTTTTCATCTAAAGTAACAGACAGAGAATCAGCACTTTGGAAACAGGGCTGAAACAGAGGGGATTATGGGTAATGCTGCAATGATCTGTTTGGTGTTTCAGCCAATCAGAGACAGGCTCTGGATATATCTGAGACCTGTGATATATTGATGAAAAACTGTATAATAGGGGACCTTTAACATTTGCATTGTCCAATCAAAACACTTGAGATACAGTGATAACAGTTTGACTAAAAAATATAGTATTGACATTATTTCTACTTCCGTGTGGGAGTGACTCTGGAAGAAATTGACATTATATCGACGGAGAGACTCGTTTTTTTCAACAGAAATTGTAGAATTTGTTGGAGTTTGTGAGAGTCAAATATAATCTGGTCTAAAGTAAATAATAACTGTGGACTCTGGGCATGAATTTAATCCATGTATACAATTATAATTATTTAATCGCACCATTATTTATGTTTTTTAGGAAATGATGTCCCTCATTTCTTTCTTTTTCTTTTTCTTAATAATGACAGTTTTATCTTTTATTGGACCATTCCTGAAAATGATGCTTTGTAAGTTTGCTTAAAGTCCAAAAACGTCTATTCAAACTAAGACACAACACGTTTTATTATGTCAGTTTTCCATCACCTGTGTTGGATCTGTGATCTGACTGGTCACTTTACTCTCTTTCAGGATAAAGGGTTTTTATTTGCAATGACATGAAATGGTTGATTGTTTGTGGTGGCGCAGTGGGGTAGTGCGTTGATGTTCGAATCAGGGTTCAAACCCCACTGCAGTCAGCATGTCGTTGTGTCCCTGAGACCCTTCACCCCAAAGTGCTCCTGTGGGGATTGTCCACAGTATTGAGTATGTAAGTCGCTTTGGAGAAAAGCGTCTAACAAGTGACATGTAATGCAATGTGTGTTGCAGTTCCTCGTGTCACTGACAGGTGGCGCCAAAAACAAAGATAAACCCAGAAACGTGAGTGAGTTAATAAAGTTTTGCAGTGAAATAAAGTAAAAATTCCAGGTATTTTCTCTTAATATTTACACGTTATGTTACTTTATACTTACTTTATACTTAGACTCCACTAAGGGGGAAAGGGTACTTTTTACTTTACTACCTTTATCTGACAGCTTTAGTTCGTTCTTAAACCATGTATCTCTAGATATATTTATTTAGATGTTTTGTGATAAACTAAAGGATTAAGTCTTCCTTTAGATGTCCTACTTCTAAATCATAAACTATTTTAAAAACAGCTTAAATCATCACCTCTGATAGTCACATGATGAGCCTGAGCAGATCTGCAGCTGCACACAGTGTTCTCTGCTGACCTCTGACCTCTGACCTCTCCACACACACACACACACACACACACACACACACACACACACACACACACACACACACAACACACACACACACACACACACACACACACCACACACACACACACACACACACACACAGAGAGACAGAGAGAGATACTAACAACACGTGTATGTGTGTGCTTGTGTCTTGAGAATACACATCTCAACAGGGAACTAAAAAATCTCAAAATCCTCTCGCCAACAAAAACACCAAGACAAACCACCACACACACACACACACACACACACACACACACACACACACACACACACACACACACACACACACACACACAACACACACACACACACACACACACACACACACACACACACACACACACACACACACACACACACACACACACACACACACACACACACACACACACACACACACCACACACACACACACGACAGCAGCTGCGGAGTGAAAGTGTGATGTTCCTCTGACATCAGTAAAAATATGTTTACCCTCATCTGAGAATCACATTTTGTTCTCCGACTGTTTGCTAAAGTTCAGCGAGAAAAACTTGACCTTCAGCTGCACAAAATAATAATCGAATATGATTTGAAGAAGATTGAAGACTCAGTGTGGGGAACGGTGCCTTGCTCAGGGACACCTCGGTAGCACTTGGTCTTTCCGGGACTTGGACTGGTGACCTTCCAGTTGCCAAGCCAAGTCCCTATGGACTTCGCCACCACCGCCCTATTTAAGTAATAGCTTGGTCTTTTATAGTGTATTTTAACTTATTTTGTATTATTGTATAGTGTATTTTATCAATACTGTATTTCTTGACTGGTAATATGTGTAATTTGGCTGTCTTTTATTTATTTGTATTACATTTGTACCTCAATTCAATGCCTTGCAAACATGCTGATGTACCATAACAATGTTTGTCAATTTTAAATCAATAAAGTATATATCTAATCGCCTCTATGTAGAAAAAAGTACCTTTTACTTTGGTAAAAGTACTAATACCACACAAAAAAGTAATGTACTCATAATACTACTCAAGTAAAAATAAGTATACATATACAGTAAGTATTAACAACCAAGTAAAAAGTCAAATGAACTCATGTTTTGTCCCTAAGAATTATGGTAGTGCTATTTGTATACCCTTAAATCAATGGCAAGGCAAGTGTATTTATATAGCACCTTTCAACACAAGGCAATTCAAAGTGCTTTTAGAAAAATGGGTAAAAATCACGTGTTATCAAACTAAAACCGATATTTCCTTTTGCAGCTGTGATGTGGCTGTGTGTGTTTCTGTACCTGCATCTTGGTGACGCTGGGGAAGTCTCCGGGGCTGATGTGGTGCTCTCTCTGCAGGTGGGTGTAGATCTCAGGCAGCCTCATGATCAGCTCCTCCTTCTTCTTCTCTCTCCCAAACAGAGACGGCATCTCCTTCTTCAGGTGGCTGATGATGTAGGCGTGCACCTGCAGGAGGAAGAAGAAGTGGCTGTCAATCAAAGAACATCAACATAATTCTGGATTCACTAATTATCAACCAAAATCTGTTGGTGGTTAAAGGAACAGTCCCACATTAAGTCAACTAACCGAAAAAAGTAATAAAACACAATGGAGTGGTGCAGCGATGACGTATTTTTGAAGGCTGAACTAGAAGTTAGCATAATAGGCCTCCCTCAACAAAAAGCAATGGGATTTTTCCATTTGAGTTTTGAACATTGCAGAAAATAAGCTCTGTGGCAAACACACGTTTATGATACTTTAGTTGTGTTCAGCAGGATAATGCCCACATATTAACACCACTTTTTAAAGCGTAAATGCAATCTCCAGAAGTAAAAAGCTAACGTTAGCCTATAAAGAACTTCAGCACGGTCACATTACTTCACGTCACCACCGGTAAGCTAAAGGAGGCTAATGTTGGGCTATAAAGGAACTACAGCACGGTCACATGACTTCACATCACCACCGCTAAGCTAAAGGTGGCTAATGTTGGGCTATAAAGGAACTACAGCACGGTCACATGACTTCACGTCACCACCGCTAAGCTAAAGGTGGCTAATGTTGGGCTATAAAGGAACTACAGCACGGTCACATGACTTCACGTCACCACCGCTAAACTAAAGGAGGCTAATGTTGGGCTATAAAGGAACTTCAGCACGGTCACATGACTTCACGTCACCACCGCTAAGCTAAAGGCGGCTAATGTTGGGCTATAAAGGAACTACAGCACGGTCACATGACTTCACGTCACCACCGCTAAGCTAAAGGTGGCTAATGTTGGGCTATAAAGGAACTACATCACGGTCACATGACTTCACATCACCACCGCTAAGCTAAAGGTGGCTAATGTTGGGCTATAAAGGAACTACAGCACGGTCACATGACTTCACGTCACCACCGCTAAGCTAAAGGTGGCTAATGTTGGGCTATAAAGGAACTACAGCACGGTCACATGACTTCACGTCACCACCGCTAAACTAAAGGAGGCTAATGTTGGGCTATAAAGGAACTTCAGCACGGTCACATGACTTCACGTCACCACCGCTAAACTAAAGGTGGCTAATGTTGGGCTATAAAGGAACTACAGCACGGTCCCATGACTTCACGTCACCACCGCTAAGCTAAAGGTGGCTAATGTTGGGCTATAAAGGAACTACAGCACGGTCACATGACTTCACGTCACCACCGCTAAGCTAAAGGTGGCTAATGTTGGGCTATAAAGGAACTACAGCACGGTCACATGACTTCACGTCACCACCGCTAAACTAAAGGAGGCTAATGTTGGGCTATAAAGGAACTACAGCACGGTCACATGACTTCACGTCACCACCGCTAAGCTAAAGGTGGCTAATGTTGGGCTGTAAAGGAACTACATCATGGTCACATGACTTCACGTCACCACCGCTAAGCTAAAGGCGGCTAATGTTGGGCTATAAAGGAACTACATCACGGTCACATGACTTCACGTCACCACCGCTAAGCTAAAGGCGGATAACGTTGGGCGTGATGACGTTTAGTTGTCTCATTTAGACAACCAATGTTTTTAAATTCACCAGTGGGCTATTAACTGACGTATTTGATGTAAGGCAAGGCAAGGCAAGGCAAGGCAAGTTTATAGTGTAGAGGCATGTAGTAGAACAAAACATGAGAATCTCTTCAGCTTTTGTTAACTACAGATCATATCCATCCAAAAACACTCAAAAACAATTGATTCCGACACGAGGGAACCGGAAGTGATAAAATGCTGACTCATATCCGGGTTTTAGGACTTATTCCTGCACCACTCTCTTTAGATAAGTCGTTGTTTTTATCTTTCCAACTTCAGTAACAGAAACGTGACTGTTCCTCGAGATACGGACACACACACACACACACACGCACACGCACACGCACACGCACGCACACACACACACACACACAAACACACACAAACACACACACACACACCACACACACACACACACACACACACACACACACACACACCTTGGCAGAGCTTCGTTCAACAACAGTAATGTTTATAAAACAGCTTCCTCAATCACAGCTCAGACAGGAAGTCACCACAGACAGAAGGAGGACAGGTAAAATAACATCTAATCACTTTCTGTCTCGTGAGTTTCACCTAATCTTACATCTTAATGACTTAGTTCCTTAAATATAACTCAAAACATTTAGATTTCATTAAAAAAAGTCTTACATTTAACTTAATGTCTCATACAACTGGATTTAAACGTTCTTAATTAGGCTTAATATCTCATAATGTTCACTTAAATAGTCAAATATTATCCTTAGTTTCTCATATTAGAATAATAAAAGTGAAGATTTGGACTAAATATCTCCAATTTGATTTTAAAAGTCAGAATTTATTTTTACATATCAAACATTTGATGTTAAAAATTGCATTTCGGGACTTAAAATTGCAAATTTGATTTAAAAAGTAAGAATTTGACATTACAAATCATACATTTGATTTGGTAAGAAGTAAAAGTTTGAGTTAATATCTGATACATTTGAATTGAAGTGTCGAAACTAGACTTGATATCTCATAATGTATAGGACATAACGTATTGTGTATTTTATATCTCATAGCTTTCTGACATTTTATAAGCTTACACAGCAGAAAACCTCATCATCGAGTAGTTTTTGAGATGTCTCACTCCATGCCAAAACTGAAATCCTAAAAGAGGTTCGGATTTATTATGCAAGGAAATGTTCTTATTTACAGCCTATGCAAATAAAAAGAACAACAACACAGACGATCAATCAACTAATAACACACAAGTAAGAGGCCTAAAGGGAGAGAATAAAAGTGTGAAAAGACATAGAACTTAAAGTCTGGAAGACATTAATGAAGTTGGAGTTTTGGGAGTAAAACAGAACAGGAGACTGAGCGGCGTCAGGTCAGAGGAGGAAGAGGAGGGGGAAGAGGAGAGACCCTTCAATCCTTCATACTGGCCATTATAGGAGGTGGAAGGAAGTGAGTAAGGAAAGGAGGTGAGAGGGAGGGGTTGGGGTCAGTGGATTTATGAGCGTTAGTGTCATTAATCAATATTTTATCAGGAACAAAAATGCGATCTGATTGATGAGCCAGTGGTCAGAGGGAACGTTTTAAAAGATATTTGTTTGCTAAAATTCATTTATTACAGCTTAGCTTGAACTCCCACATGCACTGTGGGAGCGTCCCGACAATATGACACCAGTGTGGAGGGATTACTGACGGACTACCAGCGGCCCAAAGTGTGAGGGGCCTTCCTCCTCTTCACCTACAACATGTCACACAAGGAAGAAATTCAAAATTGCCACAAGGAAGCAAAACAAAAAGGGGCTTAAAAGGTTAAAAAAATACACCAATAAGACAACAAGCGGCTACTAAAAGCGTCTCAAAACAACCACAAGGAAACAAAACCCTAAAGGCCCGGACACACCAAACTGACACCAAAGAACACGTCCCGACGGACCCGACTGTTGTGTCGCCTCACGTCTCCTGCGTCTCGGCCAAAAAGTCGCACTGGAACAACACCGCAGCCGACGGCCAAGCAGCACGTACGCACTGCGCATGGCGTGAGCGGCAATAACTCTCCTTACCAGCAGGCGGCGGTAGTGTGTATTCGTCATTCAAAAGAGGCAACAACCGGAAGACAGACTGCGTGATATAACAAACAACAAATAGCGTGCGTCCCATTTTCACTCTCGTCCATCACAGACTGTTTCACATAACGACTTATAATCGAAAACGTGTCTAGTGCGGTACTGGAAAATGAAAAATAATAGCCGTCTGTGTGTGCCCTGGTTTCCGAAAAATAACCGAGTGACACGAGTAGATTTTAGCCGAGACCGGCGGAAAATATGTCTCAAAATTCCGTGTGTAAAAAGACGATCCACAAAGCAGAAATGTGAGATCCGCGAGCAGAGATTTGAGATCCGCAAGCGCAGTTTTGGTCGGGTAAATACAAAATGGATTTCACAAATGCCTGATCGAAAGTTGTCAATGTAAAGAGATAATCACAGATCTTTTTTTTTATTTGTGAAAATATTTAGCGTATTTGCAGATCCATTTTACACTTGCACATTTATTTGTGAGTTTGCAAATCTTTAAATGCATTTGTGGTGTTTTTACATTTACACACACATTATTTTTATGTTCACACAAATAATTATGAGACATACATATCTATGCACATACAGGACGCTCATCGACGGCCAGACATCTATCGACGGCCGAAATCGACCCGGTGTGTCCGGGCCTTAAGTGAAGACACACAAAAGCGACTAAAATAGACACAAAACTAACTCAGATAGACTTAAAAATATGATGAAATACGAACAAATGACTACAAAGAGACGCATAACGACGAAAGAAGACACAAACAATCAGTATGTATGTCAGAACTATAAACAACCATCACAAAGAAAAACTAAAACAGCTTTTCCTGAAGGTTGAACAACAGAACATTTACCTCCAAACACCGATGGAGCTCCCTCAGCTTTCACACGCCAACATCTCAAACTCACTTCTGTTTTATTATTTAGAGCTTCCTTTCGACCTCAGAAGGTTTGAAAAGAAACACAAAAAACCCCAGGAAATAAACTCCAAAGTTCTTGAGTTCAGTTTAAAGCCAGAGGATCAGTTTCTATGGATCACGTGTCAGAAGATACATTTCTTGTTCTTCTATTTTAAATCTCACTTCTGTTTTCCAACTTAGTCTCATTTGTGCAGCTTGCTTTTCAAAGTATGACTAAGTTAAAACACTTTGTAACACGGACTCAAACACTGAACTGCAGGCTTTCAGAAACATGGAATTTGTGGGTTAATCTAAGTTCAAATGACTGAATGATTAAATTAATCAATATCAACATTTGGCAGGTTCAAATAAGTAGATGAATGAATCCCATCAGCAGAAACACGTGGGTTTGCTATCCTGGCTCCAAGATGGTGGAATGAGCTCCCCATTGACATCAGGACAGCAGAAAGCTTACACATCTTCCGGCGCAGACTGAAATATCATCTCTTTCGACTCCACTTCGAGCGATAGAACTATTAACAAAGCACTTATATACTAATAAAGGACTGGCTTATCTAAGCCAGTTGAGTAGCACTTGAAATGTTTTGGCTCTAACCTGATGTACTTATATGATTCTGTTTTCTTCAAGTTGTATCTTCTTGGTCGAACGCACTTATTGTAAGTCGCTTTGGATAAAAGCATCAGCTAAATGCAATGTAATGAATAAATGAACTATTATAAATGCATGTTCAGGGTATATGCAGGAATCCTGAAGTCAAATGTAAGACCTTTTTTAAGACCCTTTCCATACATTTTAAGACCTCATCGCCACTTATGGCGCGTTTCCACTGCAGCGGGTAGCCCCGTTTAAGCGTCCTTAACCGTCCAGGCCGGTTTTTGGTGGCGTTTCCATATAGTCTAGTACCGGCCAGCGGGTACTTTTTTCCGGCCTCATAAAATCGTGGTTCCCTCAGACCAGGGCCAGGGCTGAACTAGTGACGTCAACACTCTCGACTGCTGATTGGTCAGAGAGAATCGTCACAAGATTGCGCGCGAGTTCATCCCTAGCGTCGCATATATATCTAAAAGCAAGCTTGCAGCATTTTTATAAACAGCATTTTGTAAACGGATGAGCTACAAAAATGGCTACGTCTAATAAGAAAAGCACACCGTGGTCGACCGAGGAGGTGACGACGTTCCTACATCTCATTGGGGATGATCAAATCCAGCGGGAGCTCGACGGAACAACTCGAAATGTGAACAAAAACAAAGCCGATCGCCCCGCCTACACTGCGTTGCTACCCCAGGTCCTAAACTGTAATGGAAATGCGCCACGGCCTGGGCCGGCCAGCGAGGCAGCCAGAGCGAGGCCAGAGCGAGGACGCTTAGGGACGCTTAAACGGGGCTACCCCGCTGCAGTGGAAACGCGCCATTAGAGTTCTAACCGGTTACCTTGGCGTAGTAAATGAATGAATGCATGTTTCTGAACTTTTCAATGAATGAATAACACAATGAATGAATGCAGGCTAACCCCTTCACTGTCTGTACTGAATGCTAAGAGATTAAACTGAATCATCTAACTCAGGGGTGTCAAACTCAAGGCCCGGGGGCCAAATCCGGCCCGTGACTTCATTTCATGCGGCCCCACAAGAGCTTTTATTATACGGGTACATGCCGATTTACAGAAGCACGTTGCCCATAAACTACATGTCCCACAATGCATCTCAAATATGATTTGTTTTTCTTCAAAATATGTCTTTGTTCTCAGAATTTGACTTTTTTTCTTCAAAATGTGGCTTTTCTTTTTAAATCATTTTGTGACATTCTCACTGAAGAGACTTGCAATGATTTGCCGTAGACTTCTGCTTTCAGACGTAGTTAATTATGAAGTTATTACCCTATCAGATAATCATCCAATGCAGAGGCAATCATGTAATATAATACATCATTTTATATATATTAAATATTTATATATGTATTTTTATATAGTCTTAAACTTACAACCGGCCCTTTGAGTGCAACCATAATTCCAATGTGGCCCGCGATGAAATTGAGTTTGACCCCCCTGATCTAACTTCTTCTGAAACCAGAGTGTTCACACTCCCGGCCCTCGTTCTGTTTTTGAAACACAACCAAACATTCCAGTCTCTGGGTGTTAAACTCCAAACACAACATGTGACTTCCTGCTTCACCTTGGCCAGCCGCGCCCTCTTGATGAGGTCGTTCAGTTTACGCAGCGCCGCGTTCCTCGGGAGACTCTGGATGTCCTTAAAGAGATCCTGAGACTCCGCCTCAAACAGACGCCTGGGGAGTGAACGAGTGAATTAGTTAACGAGGAGAAACACAAGTGAAAGAATAAAAAAATACATCTGTTGTCTGTGTGAATGAATAACATGAATAAATGAAGGAACGGGTGATTTTCTGAATCAATGAATGAATGAATGAATATCTGACCTGTTCTCAGTGTTCTGCAGGGGTTTGCCCCAGAAGGATCCCAGATAGACTCTCACCACCTCAGGAGTATTGATCACTTTCCCCAGCGACCACATGAGGGCGCCGTAAACCCTCATGAGCTGCTGCGTGTCCACCTGGCAGGTGAGGGAGAGAGGTTAATCTATAACTCTAACAATGGCTTCATGTGAAGCAAAAAAAAAAATGTATATGTTAATAATTTAGTTTTTGGGAGAAGGGGTGGGATTAAATAAACTCCTCCCACTCCTTTTCGGATGTGTAGTTTATTTATTTATATATAATTTTTAAGTCAGTAATATTTTTGTTTATCAATTTGACACTGCTTAAGTTTGTATAGTATAATAATTATCATGTTTCACTTCATTATTCTTTTTTTGTTTGTATTATTATTTTGTACACATTTGAAATCAAATCAAATCAGATGTATTGATCCCTCTCTTCGCCCTCTCACCTGGTCGGCCTTGTTGAGGACGACCCGGATCTTGTCGTCTTGTCCTTTGAAGGCTCGGATGGCTTCGGAAAACTCGTCAGAGATGTCCAGTTTGTGAGCGTCGAACAGCAGGATGATCCGATCCACGCGCTCTCCAAACCACCGCAAGACCTCCGTGAAGTCATAACCTGCACACAGGAAGTTCACCCTTTCATTAGCATGGCTGGTGTGAGGTATTCTTGTTTTGAAGACCAAGAGTTGGTCTAAAGAAGACCTGAGGCCTGTACTACGAAGCAGGATTTTCGCTTAGCCGGCTAACTTCAGGGAAAACTCTGGCTTTCCGGTCCTACGAAGCTGGTTCTCTTTTTAGCAGGCTAGATCTCCATGGTAACTTATGCTTAGAGGCTAACCTGCCCCGGAGCAGGTTAGGTTGCAGGCTAAGAGCTCAACTCAGTGAAAGCACTGCCTGCTGACCAATCAGAGCTCAGTGTGCAGAGTTTAAAGCGATCAAGTCATATTACAGGAGAAAGGAAATACAGAAAAGCTGCCGTCGCAGGAAAGACGGCCGGCAAAAATCACCGACTGTGTGAACGTGAACATTAATAGAATATCACCTCCATCTTCAGAGCAATCTGACTATTATAACATTAGCGTTAAGAACACTTACCACATATCTACCACAACATAAGTAACCGGATCAGAGTAACATTAAGTACAGTCCGCGGCATATCACTTCATAATGTATCATATATTTTCTGAGTCAGCTGAGCCGTATCGGGCCGTGCAACACTCACAGTGTAACATTATTTTAAGCAACACATTAAGTTGAGGAAACACTCGAGTCAAATGTAATGAAAGTCAGATTGAGTCTTAGACGGGGCAGTGATATCATAAACTTGTTAATGTACGCATTCAAACACTTGTTCTGTTCCCAGCTGTATTCACCTTGCAGGTGCAGCTCTGTGGCTTTTATCCTGGATAAAGTGTTTAAGTCATGGATGTTTAAAGTTTAACTTCTTCATTTTTGACTAGTATTAAAGTTCACTTTTCATTCAGGAAGTATGACGCTGCGCTGTCAGTACGCTTCTCCATGTTTGTGATTGGTCGAATGCTCCAGATACCACCCCTTTCATGTGAACGCGCACCTAACTAGATAGGACACGGCTGGCTTGAGCGATCCACTTGATAACCAGCGTCGTAGTACAGTTTAGCGAGAGCGCGTATGTTTTGGATTAGGCCAACCGGCTAACTCAAACATATCCAGGTTAGGTTGAACCAGCTTCGTAGTATAGGCCCCTGATGTCGCCCACGTCCGGTCCGTGGGGAAAACACTGCTACAGTAAATTATTTCCATTAACGTTCCGGCACAATATATTGATTATTTCTCACACTGGATGTACATTACTGCCAAACATTTTTTCATAGTTTATTTAATTCTATTTCTATGTAAATGCTGCTATAATTTACTATTATTTTATGTTATTATAGTTCTTTTTAACTTTTATGTACGCACCATGACACCAAGTCAAATTCCTCGTACGTGTCAACCTACCTGGTGATAAACCCGTTTCTGATTCTGATGCTGAACACCCAAGGTGAAGGAAAATGAAGATATATAAAGAAATTCTACTTGTGTGATGGAAAATGTAGATTTTTAAACCAATTTTAAAACAACTAATAATGTTCTGGAGAGAATCATATAGTTACTGATTATCCGTTTGTTGCTTTGGTCTTTGGATGTAAGGCATACGATAAGGCATGTCTTCATTTCTGCATGAAAAAAGACCCATGAAGGGTTCATCGATAGTCAAGTATAAGTACATGGCAAACATTTATTATTCAATCTTTACAGCTCTTATCTTTTCACATAACATGCGCTCACTGAAAGGTGAAACTACTGCGAATGTACAAGTATATTTCCTCATATATCCCATCTTCTGAGTTCAACCTGAGGAATTAAAGCCCCCAGTTTTCTTCAGCATTCACACGCCCTCCAACTCTGAACAAAACCAGCTGATTTCTGAGTCTCTTCACCCGGGTGTCTGTAATGAATTGGTGTATGTCCATTCTCTTACACTACTGGAGGCGTTTTGTGAAGCTTTCCAATATCCAGAGAGGGAAATACAAACATGCAACTGAACGCCAGACAACAGAGAGCACTGAGGGCATTACAGCTGCCATACTGTGCCTTTAAATGTGTGTGTGAGGGTGTGTGGGGGGTGGTGTGTGTGTGTGTGTGTGTGTGTGTGTGTATATGTTATACGGCTGTCGCTAGGCAGACAAACACATCTGCTGCCCCATATGTCAATGTATCTTGTAAGAAATTAGATTTGGAGGACAAAGGAGTTGAGGATGAACCCATGCACTTCTAACGACACAAACATGGAGGTCAACACCTCGACACAGCAGGTGGTCAAATGAAACGTCTACACCGAGAAGCAGCTGCAGAAAACACATCTACTTCAACATGTCCTCTCAGTAGCTGTGATCTCCCTGAACCCTCAGCATGGTGAAGCTCCATCTGTCAGTGCTGCTGACGTCAGCCTGAGTGTGTGTGTGTGTGTGTGTGTGTGTGTGTGTGTGTGTGTGTGTGTGTGTGTGTGTGTGTGTGTGTGTGTGTGTGTGTGTGTGTGTGTGTGTGTGAGCAAAGTGAAATGTGGCAGCAGTCTGGGTGTGGTTCCTCTAAAACTGGGTGACACTCGGCTCGGAGACAAAAGCTTTAAAACTTTAACTGGAAACATTTCTTTGTCCTGCCGTGCTGTCTCTCTTCACTGGATCACATCCATGTCTGCTGTTTTAAACTGGAACACTTTATTTTGCAAGTTGTGGATGTAAACGTTAGAGGAGGAAAACTAAAAGCAGACTTTCTGTGATTCCCACAGAGTTGTTAATCCAGTTATTCTCCTGCTGTTATATAACTGAGTTCACGTGACATGTGGTTACACTCAGGAGGATATGACTGAAGATGGTTTTGAAACCAACAGAAAATGTAATATTAAGTTAGAAGTAAAGTCAGTGTTAATGAAAATGTACCTGTGTGTGTGTGCGTGTGTGTGTGTGTATGTGTGTGTGTGTGTGTGTGTGTGTCATCTTGTGTCTCTCTGTAGTGTTGTACTGTTTGCTGATTTAAATCCCTAATTAATGTTTTTGATGTCCGTTTGATAATTTATAATTTATTTTTAAGTTTGTCTTTGTGGTCATTTTGTGTTTTTCATTTTGTCTTAAGTTTCTTTCTTTTGTAGATTTGCGCCTCTGCGTAATTTTGCGTTTCTCTTGCTTGTCATGTGTCTCGTGTTTTTTGTTCCTATTGGGTCTCTTTTAGTCCTATTGCACCTCTGGATCTGGATCAGGATCATCCCTGTAGATCAGTGTTTCTCAAACATTTTCATACCAAGGACCACTTAACCAATAAAAAAACACTCGCGGACCACCTAACTCCACAAATATCCAAAAACACATCGTTTTTTACAAATCGCCTGAAAATGGTACAAACAAGTGACAACATGTGGGATGAAGGTGTTTATCTGGGCTATATCATGCAATCGAAAGTGAAACTTAAGCTCACTCCATTGCGGAGATATTCCCGCGAGAGTGCGGAAAACTTAAATGTATTTATTTATTTCAAATGTTACCAATATACTCACGGACCACTAGGGGGCGCTCACGGACCACACTTTGAGAAGCACTGCTGTAGAGCAGGCTTTACTAGGGTATATAATTTAGACATCAAGACATGGTATATTTAGCTTAAAGAGGCCCTATGGTGCTTTTTAGGGTATTCCCTTTTTCTGTCATAGTTTTTTGACTACTGAAAATAAAGCCCTGGTTCTCCCTGAGCAAAGCGAGCTTCTTTTAATGGCAGCTGCCCTTAAAAGCACTTCCCTACCTTACCGACAACGCGTCTTATAATTGACCTGAAACACTCAAATGCACAATTCAATTTATACAAGAAAATTACTTAAGTTTGTTATGAATTACTATTTAACTGTAGAAAGTGTTTTGTTTTTGTTGAATTGTTGTTTTATTTGATTGTATTTTTAATACCAAACGTTATAGGAATTTAATGATATAAGCGCAGGATAGAAAAACATACAATTCAACTTCTTTTAGATATGCTAATGAGCATGGAGCACCAGCAGAGGGTAAAGAGGAAATATCTAAAAACAAGAACTCCATGTGTGTGTCACCGACAGGAGCGAGGTTCACTTCCTGACAGGATATCTCTAAAACTACACACTGGATTCTGCCTCGGCTGCATTTTCCTCTGACACACATGTGTGTATTTGTCGTAGAGGTCACCCTTAAACACACACACACACACACACACACACACACACACACACACACACACACACAGAAACACCTTCAGTACACACATCATCATCTACACTTTTACTATGAGTTTCTCAATACACAATTAAATCAAATAAAGTCGTTTTTATTTGTTTAAATGCACCGTCCTCCACTGAGCATTTCCAATCAATCAATTGTGTGTGTGTGTGTGTGTGTGTGTGTGTGTGTGTGTGTGTGTGTGTGTGTGTGTGTGTGTGTATGTGTGTGTGTGTGTCCTGCATCAGATTTCAACCGCAACATTTGACATGGAGGCGCTGCTGTCCACATTTACAACATCACTACAGGGCGACACACCTCTGAGTGTTTGTGGACAACACACACACACACACACACACACACACCACACACACACACAACACCACACAGCACACACACACACACACACACACACACACACACACACACACACACACACACACACACACACACACACACACACACACACACACACACACACACACACACACACACACACACACACACACACACACACACACACACACACACACACAGTGCTGGCACACTGAGCTTTTGCTGAGTTCATCATGACATCAAGGTCACAGGGCAGCCCACACTTCATTGTCTGTGTGTGTGTGTGTGTGTGTGTGTGTGTGTGTGTGTGTTAGCTCGTTCACAGACATATTCTGCTAATTGTCAGGTTCATATTTGTATCTTGTGCCTCTACTGGGACAGAAGAGGGAGAGAACAGAGATCATGAGCATGCACTAAAACCTATAAAACACACTACAGGAGAGGGAACACCCCAACAAGCATAATAGGGCCTCTTTAAAGTGTTGAGTATTTTTTTGTGGAGTAATTGTTTGTGTGTAGATTG